AATGATATCATTCTGGTAGCAGAAGTGTAAAGTTGTACAACAGTGACTGCATTTGCTTAAATGATGACACAGAGTGATGACCCATTCTAAATTGGCATTTTGTCCTGCATTAGGGTTAGTGCTGATGGCTTTGTTTTATAGATTGTGTTCAACACATTCAGCAAAGGTGAGTGGGGCAAGGAAGAAAGAAAAAGCAATCCTTACAAGAAGGGCGATGATATTGATATTCGAATTCGTGCGCATGACAGTAAATATACAATTTATGTCGACCAGGTAACTGAATGTTCAACAGTTATTATAAGACAGTGACCACGTATGGAAATGGAATTGAATTTCTTGAAAATACTAACTCAGCTTGAAAATTTTCTCTTCAAAAGTCATCAACTTGGTTTAAAAAATTTCTGTTGAAGCCTACTAAGTGTTTTATTCACACCATTACCGATCTGTTTTGCATCTTACAGGATATGAAATAAGAATTATAGCACTCTCAAATTAAGTTACAAAATATAATAAATCGAAATGAGCAATTCACGTAAGAAATAGAGGAAATTGACTAATGTAATAATAAAGTGTTAGTGCGGTAAGTGACCAGAAGTTGTCTACACAATTAATCAAAAGATTTCATTTGTTTTTGGTACATCGCCTCACTAACTTTGATTATGGATGAAAGCATCACATAAACTTTCGGTAACTACCGTGGACTAGTTCAGCCTTATTATATAGATGAGAAAAGTATTCGAATAAGTTATTCAGAACTTTTGAAATTATATTAGTTCTTGTATGAAACGATCCCCAAACAAATGATATATTTTCTTTTCTTTGATGGTTATTACTACAAATTCCGGAAGCACAGTGCTTTCATTTTGCAGAAGGAAATGAAAGAATATGAATTATCACCTCCCGCTGTCTTCACTATAAATCTCCCCTTAAATTGAACGATGTCTGATGAACTGAGAGACAGAAAAGAGAGGGACGAGAATGCTTGTCAGGGAGGAGTTCTAATAAGAAAGTTAAATTTTAGCCTTCACAAGCACACTCTATTTTGCAGAAGGAAGTGAAAGAGTATGAGCATCGTGTCCCGCTGTCCTCAGTAACACATTTCTCGATTGATGGTGATGTACTCGTTACATACATTCACTGGGGAGGCAAATATTATGTAAGTGCTCCTCTTCTTTTTTTTAATCTCTTTCCCTATTTTTTTTCTCCAAAAAATTTTTCAATAGACTTGAAGTCCGAGCTTTTTATGGACTCCAGAGATGTAAGCAAAGTATGATTGGTCTTTCAAGTCCTTATGCTTTCAAGTTTTTCCTTAAAAGTTACAAAAATAGGCGAATGTGTCTGCCGTTATCCTCTATTCATCTGATTTCGTAGTTGCTTTAGGCAGTAGAAATGAGATTTTATTATTTAAAATCTCTTGTTGGTTCGTAACCAATGAGTAATAGTGTATTGAGTTTTATACCACTTTTTTAAATGCGTTCTCATATTTACAAAGGTTATCCACTGACGAATTTATTTTGCTTTTAAGATTTGTTGGAAATCTTACTATTACAGCCAGTTCCATACGAAAGTGGATTAAGTGGAGAAGGTTTGGTGCCAGGCAAATCGTTGCTTATCTTTGCAACACCAGAAAAGAAAGGGAAACGATTCCATATCAATCTATTGAAGAAAAATGGTGATATTGCACTTCACTTCAATCCTCGATTCGATGAAAAGGTCTGTTTGTATTTCCTCATGGCGAGGCATGTACTTTGCCAAAATCTAGTGAAAATAAAGAGTGGGAAATTGAACATGTTTACATGTCGGAAATCAAAGTATTTGTTCCTGCCTTTCTCTTAGGCGTTGTTTGATTGGTTTGATTTCTTCTTTTCTGCAAAACAAAATAGTGTAACAGCCGGAGATGATCAGCTGATTCCTAGTAATAGAAAGATTGAAGTTTTCGTGATTGTACATTTCCATAAATTTTGAAGCTTTTCGAGATCGAAAAAAAACATGAAAGTAAGGGTTGAACAATGAAAAATTCTAAGTTTTTTTCAGCCTTCAAATTTCCACGCAAATTTCTTATAAAAAAAAATTTTAATTCTGAGACCATTTCCTCTTTGGTCGACCACTGCTCTGCATCTCCATTTGCCATACTCAGATATAAGAAGTGAAATGGTACAAATTATAGGCAATAGTTCGTAATTCGCTGATTGCTGGTGAGTGGGGTAACGAAGAACGTGAAGGAAAAATGATTCTCGAAAAAGGAATCGGCTTTGATTTAGAAATCAAAAATGAGGAGTACGCCTTCCAGGTTCCATTTTTTATTTATAATTAATACTACCATTGAAATCACTAACGAAGTTAATTAATCGATTGGTTAACAAGAATAGATATGTTTATCGCATATTAAAAGATTATGTGAAATATTGTTGCACTAATTAGAAGGATAAAAAAAATGTCGTGTTTGATCTTTAGTTTTTCAGCTTGTCAAAATTTTGAATCTGCAAAATAAATATAGTGGAATTTAGCGAAATAGCTGCATTATTTCTAAAATTTCCAGATATTTATCAACAGCGAACGATATGCAACATACGCTCATCGTGTGGATCCTCATGAAATTAATGGTCTTCAAATTGGTGGCGATCTAGAAGTGAGCGGTATCCAGATGCGCTAAAGCAGATTCATTACAACGGCAGCAAAACTTTCTTTTCAATATTTCAACGCTAAAATCTCTTTAACTTTTTCTTGAGAAGAATTTCCCATGGGAAAGTTAGAGTGATTTTTTTTTTCAACATAGTGGAAGTGTCAGTTTTCTGGTTATTTAGAAGTTATAATTTAGGGATAAAAGCGAACAGATTAGAGCTAAACTTTTCGGTGTTCAAATTTAACTTGGCTACCATTGCTCATTTATTTCACACTCTGCAATCCTTCAGTACAGCATGTTTTCCTCTAAGGATAATATGTTTATTGCATATTAAAAGCTTATATGAAATAGACTTCCACTGACTAGAAGAGTAAAAAGAATGTTGTGTTTGGTCTTCGATTTTCTAACTTGTCAAAATTTTGAATCTGCAAAATACATATAATGGAATTTAACAAAGTAGTTGATTGTTGAACCATTTAATTTCAAAGGATAACAAATTGCTCATAAGAAGTAAAGGTTCGTCCTATAATTGTTCTTTATTATTGGAGTCATAGAAGTATTTGTTTTTCACTTGATTAATTACTACATTATGTGTCGGCTAGTTATTGCATTTATCAAATAACTTTTTAACAAATAATGCATGAAATTATTCTCGTTTTATTTTCATATAGATGGCGGGGATAGCTTTCTAACTTGCGGTTTTTTGGCTGCCAAAAATTTTTTGCTGACTCCTAACTTCCGTGTAATGCTTAATCTAAGTTGAATTGATAGCTTCTTATCTCTACTGTGTCTTCTATTTTATAATGTACTAGTTGTACTGCTAGGCCAAGCAATTGATGTATTTAAATGAGAGAAATTGCTTTACTTCATCCGTTAACTGACTGCCACTTGCATCGTTATGTCATTATGATCTAGACGTGTTATCGTTTTGATCCTGCTACTAAAGATTTTCCAATTGCTATTTCTGTAGTTTGCTTTATTTCATATAATCTTTGTTTGCTTTTTTGCTTTTTATTCTTTTGCTTGGATAAACAATGGTACACTGATCTTATCAGCATTCACGATGCTTCCTTATGAACAGGAAGTTCTCCGACATTCTTATCGTGTTCCCCTCAGTGCAAATATGACAAAAATTGAATTCTAATTTCTCGGTCTTAGTTACTGAACCTCATGAGTGGACACTATCGGTTAATTAGTTCAGAATATAGCACTAAAGCTTGGAAATTTCTCACAAAGGAACTGGTTTCTTTTTTTTACGCTGAGCGTTATATTTGTAATTATCGAATATTTGATGAATGCTGTCGTCTTTTTCGATTTATTATATCTCGCTCTTTCCCTCTCTGTCTCTTTGTTTGCACAATTTTTAACTGAAAGTCATATAATAAATGAATTTTGATTTGACGTTTTGTTAGCATATTTAGCGCTGCTTTTGCAATGAAAACAGAAATTTCCTGACTGTCTTCTTCGGAATGTTTGCTTTTAAATTAAATCTTCAGTGGAAAATCTTTGGATCACTAAATTAACAACTCAGAAATGTTGTCTCCGTACGTTATGGTTAATATATGGAGTGGAAGTGCTTTTAAAGTGGCAAATCAAGCAAGCGGATTTAGCGCAGTAACAGAGAATATGAGGATCACTATTCCTTAAGGAAAAAGACTTGGCCTATTGTTGACTTCTTTAATTCTCTGGAGGGAATCTTGGCTGACCTCCCTCGAAATGAGAACAATAATCGAAACTAGTAGAAACACTGATAGTAGTGAGAACAATAATCGAACCTTTACTTCCTCCTGTAATGCTGACATATCAGCAAAGATCCCTCGCGAATGAGGATCTATACAAATTTGAATAGAAAGTTGCTTTTGGTAATCATCTCAAGAATTCGGCCTCTGTAATCATGACTGCTAATTAGCGCTTCGTAGAACTAATTAGTGTTGCTTTGAAACAAATGTGTTAATTGAAATCTCTTTGTAATTAACTTCCCATTCATTCGATAAATTTGCTACTTTTCTTGTTTCTATCTCTCCTTGAGTACTTTGCTCACTTCATTGTGCGTGTCAAAAGCACATTATGTATTAAGAAGACAAAAATTTCTACAATGAAGGAGAGTCTACATCAGAAAGAAACTTCGTGAACTCTCAAAATTATATGAAGATCCTAGGGATTACAGCAAATCGAAATTAGCCAGCTAACAGTTGGCTAGGCATTTTATTGATTTTGAGACTTCATTGTATTTCACAACTATTTTCATCTGCAGATCGAATTTGTAGTAGAATAATTCGCAATAAACAAATATCATCATGTTTTTCTTGGCCTACAACTAGAAGTTTGGGAAACAAAAATTAAAGATGAAAGCCGCTTATTTCATTCCAACAAATTTTTTTAGCTGGTAGCTCTCTACTTTTTTCCAAACTGCAGTTTTCTGATTCAAAATAAAAACCGATATTGTCATATGATGTGGTTATCCTTATTTCCTCTAATTTGCTTATTTATTATCGAACAAGCGATCGGAAAACTTCTGAATAGGAAAGTTCCCGTGCCTGATAACGATAACACATTACAGGTATTTCCAAAATTGTGTCTCTCGACTGTTTTTCATTACTTCCGTGCTAGTTTAATTTGCTTAGTACGCTTCAAGAAAATCCAATTCTCTTAATTCTTAGAAGGAAAATATCAAATACATTATTCAATATCGAACAGCAGCAGGTTTTGATGTTATATCTGATATAAATAATAGCAATAACTTCTGCTGATGACGCATATATTGGTTGTTGCCTTCTGCAGATATCCTCAATAAAGATACTGTTTCTGCTTATGCTTATGATGGAACTGATACGAAACTGTAGGATAATTCGAAATTAGAAACGCTTTGCTAGTAACTTCAGTAGCAAATGATTAATTTGATGGCTGCTAGGAGGATGAATTATATTCTGATAAAATAGTAACAGATTGCTCTATAGCTCTTCGACGAATCAAGCTTTATATTACTACCCAAACAATTCATGATGTCTTTTCACGTGTCTTTTAAGCCAGGCTCTTTTGGAAGGATTACTGACTGTTCTACTTATATACATCTATTTGTTTGCCTTATATATAAACATGCCAAATTCGATTATGAAATACCATAAAAAGTCCCGTTTTGACTTTGGGATACTTTGATCTGGAAGCCACGCAGATAAAGGACACTGACCTAAGGGACCAGTTGAAGAAGACAGTTAAACTATAGTTTACGCTTGATTTGACTACTGATGTTACATAAAGTATAACCAATGATTTGTACTGGATCTATGCACTGCTGCTTTGGAATAATCATAATAAATTAGTTCAACTTTTACTCTGTCACTATCTATAAAATCATTTCAGCAAATACTATACAGATCGGGAACGCTGTATACGAATTCAAAACTGCCTAATTCTGAAACCAACTGGTGGATACCAATACCAGGTGTGGAAGTTTAACGTTTATCTGAAATGCCAATTTGGGAGACTTTTCTACTACTGTGAATTTCAGGTCAGTCATTAAAAGCAACGGTTGTACGAACTTATAATAGACAAGCGGAAAAGTACTATGCCACTTACAACTTTTTCCAAACCAATGCAAGGAGCCTATGCAATAAAAATGTGCGTATCAATCGAAATATACTTTTCTCCTTTCAATTTTTTATGCCTTCATCTTTTCATACAGATTACATGGCAACGAAAATAGCAGTCCATAATTGATACGCACTTCTGGATTTTAAATGTTCGCTTATTCCAGACAGTAGCATTAAGCAGTTTGAAAACTTGCAAGTTGGAAACTCCAATAACGCAACATCAGGTTATTTGATATCGTATAAGTTCTTAGAAGTGAAAATAAGAACTGATAGATTTCTTCCTTGTTTCTGCAAGGTTTGTCAGTAGTTCATTTGGTAACTTTTCTAATTCCAGAACCTGGAAACCCCAATGGCCTTTAACTCTTGGCCTTGAATTCTCTCTGAGGAACTTGATCCTTTTATATCTTCTCCTAAATATGAATATGCCGCCTACATGCTAAATCTTTTTAAACAGGAATGCAACATAGCGTTTGCATGGACCGAAAATGAATGGTCAACAGTGGAGATCGAAGGCGCATGCGACATTAAGTCGGTAATAAGAAATCAGGTGAAAATATTTCGAAACAACTGAATACTTTGTTAATAATGAAAAGGACAACGTTAAATATTATTTCTCAACATTACCATTTTGATAAAAGTACCGTTTTATTGCGCAAGTATATGCATGTGTGCACATATCCAGAAGTTTCAGCATAATATTACCATTCTCGCTAGTGTTGTTACGCTGGTATATTAGCAACTCTGTCACCTATAGAAACAGCAAAATACAGATCTAGAAAAATTGTCGGAAGCCACAAACTGCTAACTTTGTTTCGTCATGTCAATAATTTGAAATTTATTTTAAAAATAAAAAGTTTCAAAACATGGCGATTAGATGTCATTTTGTTCACAGTTTTTCAGTTCATATTTCAACATTCTAACAAAAAAGTTTACCCTTCTATTTTGCTGAATAGACGTGAACCAGAAAAAGACAATACTTTAGGTCAAATAACATGTTATTAATCTTGTCCAAATCATAAGAATCATAAAATATCGAGTAGGGATGAAAGTTAAAGGAATAAATGTCACTTCGTACGTCAGCTGCATATTTCTGTGTGTTATATATGTAAGCCACAACCTTACATACAATTAACGTATACAATTATGAGCAGTGCTTCCAACAATAAATAAACTTATAAAAATACGTTTCACTACATCTGCCTCAGACGTAGTGAAACGTCAGAAGACATTCAGCCTTTACCGCTGCACTCCTTACGCACGCATAATACGATACGCATAAATCGTAGCTGGCGTTGCAGTGTAAGGAAATGCACGTAAGGATACCATTTTTGGTAACGAACACGTCAACATATGATATCTCTACATGTCGTTGACAAGCTATTCTTCGTTTCCGTCTATTCTGACTGTACTGCATGAAGCGAGGTGTAGTTAACACTGTGTATGTGCGGTACAAGCCTAAGTGCACGATGCCATCCACGCAACACACATAATATTCTTCATATTACATGCAATTTCTGTCTGAAATGGCATTCACATATTATTATGCAAGCTTTCTGCTACTGATCAAAACCTTCAAGCGTTTATTAGTTTTTCTTTTTTATATTCCTATCAATAGGATTTTGTGTTTTTATGAAGAAATTTTGCGCTCTGAAACTTGGAAAGAGAAGCTTAAGAAGTCGTACAGGAGTGAATCTCTATTTCTTTAATTAAGGGAGCATAGAGGTAGATAATAACAGGTCGATCCAGTAGCTAGATACTTAACAGCCAAATTATTCTCCTCTCCCCAAAAAGCTCAAACATGTAGATTCGCCGGATATTCTTCATCTCTTCCCAATAATTGTGTCAAAATATGTTACAAGTGTAAGAAATCGAAGTGAAACAAATAACCGGAATTCACTACACTCACACAACATCTCGCCAACCGTACATTGACTAACCGATTTTGAATAACGGGAATGAAAGGCATGCAACGGAAATGCAACACGCTTATTCTTAAAAGTGGGATGACGGGTTGGTGGTGGCATAATTGGGCAGGGCGGGTGTTGGGTGGGTATATTTGCCTTGGCTCTTGCTCTTGCTTTGACTCGTGCTTTGAAGTGAAGTGTACGTATCATTCAGTAAAGGTCACTTATAAAGATTATTAATGGTTATTAGATCGAGTATGAACCAAATGTTTTTAGGAATTTCCAAGATATTCATAGAAGAGCTAAAAAGATACTGCAGAAAGCAAAAGTATCGTACTGGAGTAATTGCTTTTCTAAAGTAATTGTTTTTCAGGTACTTCAAACAAATTTGTCTCAGTCTATCCAAGCACTGAGCTATGAATATCTCAACATCTACGATCTCACAACCGTATACTTATATTTATGAAAATTTGTACAAAGAAGTTTGTCTTAATTTTCAGTTGATTATAAGGTTCCAACATAGAGTCTGACATTGATTAGCAGATGTTCAGAATAAGATGATTCGATGGTTAACATTGTGAGATTTTTTCCGAAAATTCGCTTTGATTTGTATCGTGCAATTAATCATCCTCAATCATTTAAAAATGTCTCGTACTGATTAGTTTCAAGATGATAGTATTTTTTATTTCATATTTCAAGTAGTAATTGAATTCTAATATTTCAGATGAATATGAGAGGGAAGGATGTGGTGCCTGCACAAGAAGCGGCAGCATTTTTGAAACGATCCAACTTGAATGTTACAACTCTGGGCCAGGTATTTATTTTCTGAATCATTGAAAAATCACGACCACTGCATTAACAGTTCCCTGTTATAAAGATTGTTAAGGAACGCCAAGAGCTGATAGTTGCCTGGTAATTGAGATAACAGAACTTAGTAAAGGCTCTGATATCATTTTTAAATTGAATTTTAAAGTCCTCCCGAAACAGTAACCGTGAAGCTCAAAAATGGAAAATATTTCTTTTATTTTTATTCAGATCTGGGAATTGGCTGATTACAGTCGAAAAGGTTACTTGGATAAAACCGGCGCTTTTATTGCTTTCAAGTTAGTGGCAGCTTCTCAGCAAGGACAGCCCATCTCATGGAATTCTTTACTGCTTAAATTAGAACCTCCATCCTTTGCATCGAGATCTGCTACGCCATCTATACCTAATTTCGGTGCCATATCAGCTAGTCTTAATGAGAGCTGGGCAATCAGTCCAACGGATCAAGTGAAATACGAATCAATCTTTGATGGTTTGAATCCAGTTGAAGGGAAAGTATCCGGTAATAAGGTGATGCATATTTACTTGGCAGAGAGGTCATGTAAGGTGATGCATATTTACTTGGTAGAAAGATCATGCAGATATTAGTATAACTTATTACAGAACATCTGATGATGTGCACAAATTTACGTCCTCTCTGAAAAGATTCGGCGTTTATCTGATTGCACGGTGCACTTCTCGATATAAGTTGCTATATTGTAGCAACGTTATTTGATTTGCCAAAGTTAATTTCGTTTTGTTTTTTTTGTTTGTTTCGTCTTTTTTCAGTTTCTTTTCTTTTTGTCCTTACTTTTTTTATTGTCCTTATTTTTTATTTCGTATTTTTTTGCTTTTTCTGTTTTTTGTTATATAAATTTATGGCTCGCCTTGTACTGATATATACAATTTACCTAATGGTACTGAAAATTAATGATACGGAATGTGTTAGTCTTCTTTGTCAATTTCCATACAAAATTCCACCCTGTATTTCCTTTACTGTTTGAGTTATTTTCAGGTACGTCCTGTGCTATTAAATTCAGGACTTCCAAGTACATCATTAGCAAGGATATGGGAGCTAGCAGACATGGATAAGGTTAACCAATGATTATATTATGGCTAAATTGGTATTCTTCCAACATTTACATCATTGGTTGCACTTGACTTGCCGTAGTATCTCACTGATATGCAGCTCGGTAAAGTGAGGAAGGATTCATTAAATCAAGTTTCTACTGGCAATTTCATTAAATCGTTAATTAACGATTCTGGAGGAAGTGATTTTTTGGGATGCAATCACACTGAAGACTTCTCATCTCTATCAGTTTGCCCTCCATTATCATATTCTCATTCTACAACTAAAATATACAACGAGTGTTTTAAAATTATGCTTGTTTCAATTTCTTCCCAGGATGGCAAGCTTGATCGCATTGAAATGTCTGTTGCACTACATCTGGTTTATTGTGCCCTGCAAGGAGAACCAGTACCAAGTATTCTGCCACCATCTCTAATTCACCCAACAAAACGTGAACTTGTACAGTTCTCCTCTAGTATTCCTCCGGTTCCAGCGCCTCGTAAGATTCTTTCGATATCAAAACAATTTATGTTAACACTACCATTGCTTGAATTCATGAACAATTATTATTGAATGCTTTTAATTTTCGGGTTTTTCAGAATGGAGCAGTGGTCGTCAAAGAACTGGCTCAGTAGTATCCTTAGAAAGTTCTGAACAGGGAACATTAGGATCGGAAAGAGTGCGGTCACAAAGCGTCCAGCCAACAAGCGTTACCATGCCAATCCTTTTTGTTAGTTTGTTCCTTTAAAAAGCTTTCAGATTCAAAATTTGTAAATGAATCATTTGTAATTTTTATTCTTCGTTGCAGCCTGCATCACTTCCATTATCACCTGCTGCAGCATGGCCAGTGCATTCAAGTTGTTATGAAGCTAGTTTTCAGCAGGTACTTTTTGCATTTCAAAATATAACATGAACATTTCTCCTCAGTATCTGAAAGTACTTCTGGTTTCATTTCCAGTGCTTCAGTTTTTAGTGCTTAATTTCAACCGTTGTTGTTTCGATTCGAACTCTATTCTATTAATTTGGCCTTCCTTGCAGCTGTTTGTATTTTTTTTGTTGCAGTTTTTACCTTTACGAAGTTCGCGTTTTACATTATTTTATTTGGGCATTGCAGGCGGATAGTGACCAGGATGGATTTGTTTCGGGTGCAGATGTTCGTGATATTTTACTTGCAACCGGTATAGAGCAGAATACATTGGCGTTGCTTTGGTCGCTTGTGGATCTGAAGAAGAATGGGATGCTGAATTTGGAGCAGTTTTCTTTGATGTGATTTTTAATTTGCTAATTCAAAGAAGTCCAGGAAAGTCTTTAAATTTTTCAAATGCATATATGTTGTAAATTTAATGGAAACTCTTTTTAGCATGTACCTGATTGAAAATCATAAACAAGGAAGACCGGTACCGTTTGCATTGCCGCGGAATTTGGTACCACCTTCTTTTCGAACACTTGAAGCCCCTACAGCCAGTGTAACTAGCGGATATACTATGGTAGCTCATTTCCTAGAGTTTTTTTCAACATTGGTTGCTGTCTCTTCAAAATTAGTTCGCTTGATTTTTGTCACTGATGGAACTTATTTTTTAACCTTTGATGTCGCAATCAAAGAGTGTGTCTCTCAGAGAGTAGTAAAGAAGTTCCTCCTTAGTGATTCCACTCATAAAAAAAGTTACATTTGTGAATTCAACTTATCTGTAATAATGCGATAAAAGTATTTTAAACTGTTGCAGAGTACAGCACCAACCGGAGACGAGGAACTGGATACATTATTGCGCGAAGTTGAAAAGCTAATTCTGGATCGCCGAGAGGCTGATCAAGAAATCGTTCAACTTGAAGCTGACATGACTGTGAAGAACAGCGAGATCAAAAATTTAAAGGTTTTTAGTTGGAAGTCAATTCAGCTAATGTTTGTGGAACTGTGTTAGTATTGGTTTCATTTTTGTGAGATCTCTCTTTAAGGTATTTATTCCATTATACTAAGAGATACGATTTTGTTAATCCCATACAACTAGAGTTATTAGAAAGTTGTATGCACATTACTATGTACGTGTGGAGTTTAGCTGTTTCATGTCAGAGGTTTCAGTGGCGAGATGTTTGGACATACTTTTAAATTGAATGGGGAAGGGAAAATGGAACGTTGTAAAATATTCTAGATCTTTCGGCTTCAGATTGAACTAACAACACTACAAAATACGGTAACACAATTGGAAAAACAGAAAGGTGAAGCAGAAAAGCGACTTGAAGCACTCGATTCACAGATTGCGCAACTGGGACGAAGTGTAGAACAATCCAGAGAAAAAGTTAAGGAGGAGGAGAAGAGGCTTGGCGAACTTCATTCGCAAAGCACTCAAAATGGAGCAAATAAAACTGTTAGTCTTGCCAAGTTCAGGTGTTTGCTATGAAAATAGAAAACATCGATTTTTTGCTTTCCAGTTCCGTATTTCTCCATTAGACAGTTAGAGTCAACGTTTGGTTGGAGTAAGAAAGAATATCGTGTAGGGTTCCTACGAGAGATGATTGTTTTTAACAACTATTGTAGATGAATGATTCTTGATGAGTCAGAAGATAAATCATTATTTTTCCCAGTACTTAGCAACGAATATGAACTTTTCCCAATTTGTTTTATCACAAAATATCGGCGCTTGTAATTTTGTTGGAGATGTCTGCCCTCCACACGCCACTAATTTTATTTTTCTGTTTTTTCAGGCAAATGAAGAACTGATAAATGTGCAACGAGAAGTTCATTCTTTGGAAGAAGAAAAGAAAACGTTGTTTGTTACACTTTCACAACATAATGCTTCTATCGAAAAAGCAGCGTTGGAGCTTACGAAAGTTTGTCTTATTTTTTGATAATTATATTGTTGCTTTTAAAACTATTTCCCGAATAGATTTTGCTCTCATATTTTCTATTCTTTCGAGCAAGATTTGGTATTTTTGGTAGCTTTGATTTGCTGGAATTTGGTAGTTTCGATACCAAAATTTGGTACCTACCAAAAACTTTGATACCTACCAAAATTTGGTAGCTTTGATTTGCGTATTGAAAGCTTTCTTTGCAAATTTAGTTGCAAAGATGTGTTCATTGTTGAGATTTAGTTCCTAAATGTTCGATTTACTTTCTAGAGATGTTCAGAGTGTATTTTTAGGGATCAATGCATCTCTGTTTCTTTTATTTGAATTTCATTTTCAGTTTGAAAGGAGATGTGCAAACACTGAAGAGATAACAAAACGCATTGAAAATGAAAGTGAGAAATTAAAGAAAGCAGCAGAACGTCTTACTCAATTAATAGAAAGCAACGATATTGAAACACTTAATAAAGAAAAAGATGAACTTTTTGCTCTACTCGTGGAAATTTCTCCGGTAATTATTGATTTCTTTACAGATGAGAAGGAGGTTTCAAATGAGGATGAAAATCATACTGATGTTTGTTGTCCTGCAAGCTAGAAAAGCAAAGTTAATGTAACTTTTTGATTCTTTTCCTATCAACAGACTGCTGAGGCATCTTTGAAGAGATTATGTGAACGATTGACTTGAAAAAAAAAGAGATTTCAGAGATAGAATCGTCGATGACCCGGTCATTAGCACAATTTTTTCAGGTTGTTGAAAATCAAGATTTTAGCATCTCGACGGATTCTTTCGCAGCAGCCACTCGACCAGGTTTTACTTTCCCATTTTTATTTTTACAATAACTATTCCACTATGTAACACCTGATACTAATTCACAATTAAAATTAATGGGAGAGTGGATTTCGCAGGCATTGGATTTGAAACTGATCCATTTGTGGGCACGATTAACTCATCATTCACGAATTTTGATGCTTTTTCGGGCAAGGACCCATTCAGCTCGGATATGAATAACACAAAATCTCCACTTGCTACCGTTACATCCGTAAAAACACCACCGCCACGACCTGCGCCACCAAAATCACTGAAAACTCCTGTGGATTCAGATCCATTTTCTGGCACGTAAGTATATACTTACTGGATACAACGGAATGATTTCTTCAAATCATAATTTTCTACAGATTCCATAGATTTCTCTTGCCTTACAATTTTTAATCAAAGAAATTGCCCTTCTTATTCCTTTCCTATGCCGTTTTTTTTTTTAGGGACCCATTTGCTGAAAGTGGAGCAACAGTCACTTTAAGAACAGATCAATTCGCGGATTTTGCTAACTTTGATGCTTTTGCGAAATCCTGAATTTGTCGTGCTTGATGTGTTATTGTGCATTTACTGTTTTACACCACCAAAGCACTTTTGGTTATTACTTATCATAAATTCACAAATTCCACTGTCACTAAATTTTGTGACTTTTTCGTTCACTAACTTCTCTGTAAGTTCCAAAATAACGACGTAAAGTTGACAGCAACACGCACGTGCATCAGTAGAACTTCAAACCCGATGAAAATAGCTTGACATCAAAATATTTCTCGAATCCATAAAATAATATTATTACTGTTGCCCTGTACTTTATAACTTCTGCTTGCTTTGTTTAAATTACCACTACTTCGTTGATATTATCTTAGCGTTTTGTATTTCGCTACATGTCATCAGTGTTGTGAATTTTGTTACAGCTTGGATATGCAAGTAGAAAAAGATCACTCCATCCCTTAAATTCCAGAAATCGGAATTCTTCGAATTCAAACTTTGTGAGTAGAACTTCGAAAGAGTTTTAATCATAAAATTAACAACTAAAACTCACACATAACATGAAATACCGTCGAAACAACATTACATAATATAAGAATGGCATAGCTTGCCTCCTTCGGATCTCTTGATTCTCTTCTAAATCTAACTTCCTCGAAGTTTAAAAATTGTCACGAAAGTTTCATGGTATAGAACTGTGTAGCTAGCTAACTTGTAAGTTACGTTAGACTTGGGTCGCTGTTTCGAATGCTTCCCCACTCAACTATGTGGAGGTGATCCAGTTGCGTTCGGAACGAGGAATCATACTGAGGTAAAGCGACCTAAGTTGTAGAATGCGAGATAACATGAACTTCAAGTTGATAAATCTGTCGCCGGAAAAATGAAGACCAAGCACAAAAGGTTAAAAGAAAACAACGATAAGGAATGCTACATTAAGGTCCTAGCCAAGTGTTTTGACGACGTAACCACACTCTAAAATTTATAAGGGTTCCGAAGAATGTCTAAGCAGAAAATTTTAATTGGTGAGGTCGTGATGCAGATTCAGAACATCGATACCCTTTTAGAATAACAAGTCCCTGAACAACGGACGGGTTTCTTTAATTTAATTGGAACTGAAATTTTCTAAAGTGAACAGCAAATTTTAAAAAGCCCATTAAAAAATGGAGTGAGATACGGAGATTGGTGAGACGGAACACATTTTTCTTAAAATACATTTTTGGTGTTGCCATATTTACAGCTAACGCTATCTGACGGTAAGAATTGTATCATGTACAGTACATGCGGGACCATCACAAAGTATTCTAACGAATTTCATTCATCACACCTAAACTTTAAGATGAATTGCACTAGGATTTCTAAGCTCCAAAATAAAGCTTGTTTTTTCTCCCCTTTTACATAAAAATTACTAAATAAGTGGTTAAAGATATCGCCTTGATGAAGTTTGTTTCAACTTGCGGTAGAAAGAGAAAAGTGGACTGTGAATCGAAAGCAGTGCCTTTCAAATCTGTTTGAAAAATTTTGGAAGTACTGAATTGCTAAGTGATAAAGTAAGGTATTTCAGATTATTTTTGCTTGAATGAGCAATGACGCAGAAATATTTAATTATTCTTAAAAACAGAAACAGAATAACTCGGAATTCTTCGGCCCTTTTTCTGAAGAGGACAATTTTCTTGGAAGTTAAGAAAGTTACCTCTTACATTTGCCCAACGCATGTTCTCGTTTAAAAACTTAATGAAACGAACAGTAATGTTTCATGTTTAAAAGATAGATTAGGAAGAGAAATATGAAACTAGCAAAATGTCACTATGCACATCAAATGTCCATAATATACCGGAGTGGGTAAACTGATTACTTGCAAAGGGTATAAAATGCAAAACGCAAAGGTCAGATGTTGGAAAGAAGTCCACTATTTAGCTAATTTCAAAAAATCCTACAACTTTCTAATGAAATGTATTTTAATCAAAGCACCATCAAAATGGAAAACCCATATCTCCTATCATAAAAAAATAAAAAATAAGAAAAACCAGCACAAATTTTTTTTTAAAGAAAAACTCCAGTCTCTTATTTCTACTCTTCGTACATCCGCGACGACGATCAGATGCTGGAAGAGTCTTTTAATTCAAGATTCTTTTAATTCAAGATATGTTTAAAATTAAGAAAGTAGTCACCTGCTACTCATCCGATGTCAGATTCCATGAATCATAGAATACCTGATCATAACTTGATCTTGATGTTCCCTATCATATTCCTCTCATCAGTTACGAAACCCATCTTCCAAAAAAAACAAAAAAAGAAAAAAAACTAGGAAAAGACACTGATAGGCATATTTTGCAATAGATTCCTCTAATAACGATTAAAAGTAATGAATTCGCTTACGACTGAACCAAAATGAGAGCAGAGGACGAAGTCGAAAAGCCGTGAACTGATTGCATACGTATCAACAGGTGTTCCTAATGAATGCTTAGCACCTGAAATTCAAATCAAACAAGAGCAAAAAAACAAATAAGGTGTGCAGATAAGCACTTGCAGTTGGGAATTCAACAAAAGGAACAAAGAAGTCAAATCATAATTTTTCTGCACTAGCCTAAAATCTTAAGGGTGATAAAATGATACTCCCTAATGTCTTGAAACTTCGCAGCCACAATAGATTCAACAAAAAAGAACATATGATATCGTTTTTGAACAACTACGTATGTCAAAGTTGGAGTATATTCGGGATCAAGCTTTTTATATGCTGTCTTTGCTGATGTTATTTCTTCTCTCAATGTATTGAGAAATTCAGTTTTCGATATACCAACACTAAAAAGGCTAAATTAAAATAAAACTCCATGGGTTTTAAACGACATAATTACCTTATACACAATGAATTCCATTGAAAAATAAAATAAAATTTAAGTAATAGAAACCTTTCCATTGTGATGGTGCCATCAGAACAATTGAACGGCTACTGTCAAGTTTCCAGGAGATCGGAAAGACCCGTCTAACATAACTGGAATTTCCACCACGTAAAACACTCGACAAAAAAAATCAACGATTTTTTTTTGCACAAATAAAATTCCAAATTCAGGTTTTTAAAAATAGCAGAAAATTTTAAGTTATTTAGTTCAAAAAGACACCGTTAAGTGACAATTGGTTTGGAGTTGTACCAACTGACTTATAAAATGCTAAGAGACGTTCCTTTAAAGCATCTCCAAGTTAACAACACGTTTATTTTTGAATGAAATTTTATTAACGCATTATAACTAAAAATATATATTTAGTAAAATCAGAAGAAAATTAATTAAAAATCGAATATGAGAGATGTTAGAGAAATTATCATCGAATTAATATAACTGCTAGCAACCACTATGAAACATTTACACAATATCGCAGCAAATATTTTTCGAAATGTAGCCCCGTTTCCCTCTATGCTAAAGTAATCCTACATATTCATATGGTAATTGATTATAAAGAAGTTTCTGTTAATAGGTAGGGAAAAAGAATTTTAATAATAATCATTAATAAATGTTTTGAGAACATTAAAATGCTGTGGTGAATTTCATATGTTTCAAGCACTTTATAAATGCTCCACACAGTATTTCAAAATGAATTGAATACAAGTTATAGAATAGCAATGATCTTGCTGCTGAATTGATCACTGCAAAAAACTAGCATAGACCTAAATTCAACCAAAGAAACTTCGCTCACCGAAACCAAAATTTAAAACTGACCGTGTGGTACCGAAATTTACTGACCCAACAACAGGTGCAATTGGATTGCCCAGTTTGCATGGTCGTGGATGAGTTACATCAACACCGATGAAACTATCGGGTCATCTCTGTCCGAAAACTTTGGCCAACTTCAAGAAATAAGGATTTATTTTCAAAGTTTATCAAACTTGTCCATTTATTTATTTATTTACTCATTATTTTATTTAAAGTCCGTCACGGTCCTTATTTTCTGATTTAAGAATGAGTTGGCTAACCTTTAGTCGAAATCCTAACAAAGATTCACTACCAATAATGAATCCCAATCTTTCGATTCCTCGGAGTAGCTGGATTACTTATGCAACAATAAACATTTCTGTAGCAATCCAAATCTAAATTTAGCATGGTAATGCATCAAATACAAAATCTAACATCGAAAAACTTAAAAACAAAAAATCGGTCCCTTCTCAAAACCACAGTTTAATATATTTACTAACTGACAATGTTTCATTAAGATTAAGAAAAGCTTATATAGAAATTTTGTAAAGAGCCTTTAGTCTGGTAATTAAAGGAATGTATCTGGGATGTTAAACCATTCCTACTATAAAAGAAGTTGGGATTAGTCATCCTGGTACAGTCGGTTATCAAATCAAAAAGTTTAAGCAGTCACTCGATCCGACAGCTCCCACAATCATTCAGTCCAACAACTCGTTCAACTAGTTAATCGGGCAGCTCGCGCGACAACGGTTCAACGACAGAGAAGCGGCAATTGGTCAGCTCAACAGCACGAATGACAAGATCGTTTAATATCCTTTAATATTTATTGTGTATTGTTCATTTCGTCCTTATTATTGTTTCAGTGTGATATTATTGTCGGAAAAACCGAAAAACTTTTAGAAAAACTTTTTGAATATATCGACTTTGAAATATTGTAAAGGTCAATTATGCTGTTGTTTACTCCTTGTCCCCCCTATTGTAAAGGTCAAGCACACCGTTGTATAATACTGTAACTATATTAGCCTTCGATTTTATAAACCACTGTTTTTATATATGCCGCTCTTATTACTTTAATAATCTTACATGCCTTGTTAAATGTTGTAAAAGTCATCTTTTGGGGTCAATCGGTTTGACCTCATAGATTATAATAAATAAACTCTCCCTTTATGAGCTTTAACCCTAGGAAGTTAGGTCACTCTATTTAACAACATTCAGTTAGGGAAATTCTGTTTTCAGCCGCATGCATCTATGTCTTCTTCGGATCCCGACAATTTATTCATCAATGATAGCATATAATTCTATTGTCTGAATTACAATTCAATTCTTGTTGAGTTACTAAATTATATTCAT